GAAGTAGAGCCGAGCTTTACGGATGTCCGAACCAGCATAGGACAGGTTATCACCTTAGAAACAGTTCTGTTGTTTCTGTTTACATATTGCCATCAATTGCCAACCAGTGTAATAAGGAAACATCGCAGCTTAAAAAAAGTTTACGCGTCTCATTTTTCGTGGCCTACGGATTGTTGCGTTGCCTGTAAGGACTCTTCAGGGGTCCCCATATTAGCCACCTTAGGTTTGGTTCTCGACGCGGTAATGGTTACATAGTTGGGCTTTGCTCATTGGATCCGATTATATGTGCTTCACTCAAGGCATTTTTCGACTTGATATCCTAACCGGTGTCGTGTGGCTAACTAGATCGACCACACTCCATGCCGACCAAGGTTCCATTTGTGGGTGCATGGCTGCAGGTCGACGCATGGTATCGAACCTGATGACTTTTATGTGTCAGATCATGCATTCGTACACGCACGCCTGCCAGTTCACCTCTAACTGTGTCTCCAGATTCTGACAGCTGGGGTTTCAAGCAGAGATGCAGTCTCGATCTACAGACCGAATTGAAGAGAAGTACAGAAAAATATCCATACTTGAAACCTTCACCCTGTAAAGCAGCTGAGAATATTATCAGATTTACACAACTGCGCAGTCATGGCTAGAGTAACTCAAAGCTTTAGAGGCATCTAGTCAGATAGCGTGACAAGGTTGCAGGGGTATGAATCCTCCTACATCTCGGAAAATTACGATAATGTCGATTATATGTATCATGTATATTTATATGCCGAAAGATTCGGGGCCCAGATATGTTATCGCGTTCATCATCTCCCGTAGAAGAAGAGGGAGCGGGTTCATCGGATTCGTGCAGTCGCCTCTGAAACGCCAAACGACGATTTCCAAAACAGAAGAACGGGAACTTCTGAGTATAAGAAAAATTGAGGATATCATTATCTTGCCCGCCGATAAAGGCCGCTCCACGGTCGTCATGGAGAAGGCTGAGTATGAAGCAAAGGTGAAAAACCTCTTAATGGACAAGGAATCCTATACGTCATCCGCTGCCAATGGGTTTGAAAAACTCGTAGAACCCTTTGGGATTGGAGTGGTGCATAGACCAGATTTTACAATCAGACAACAAATCACGAAGCCCAAAGACCCGCTGCCAGCAGCCGAGCAATCAACCGTAGTCTACAGCATACCATGCAAAAACTGTGAGGCGAAGTATGTTGGGGAAACGGGCAAACGCCTGGGCACAAGATTCCACGAACATCAACTTGCAATCAATCGCAAGGACAAGTTGTCTTTAGTCTATG